ATTTCGCCACATCAACCTGTAACAATAATTCAGCTTCCATTTTCTCTGCTATATGGTATTTCTAATGATGGCTGGAGGCATTCAAAACAAGCATAACCAAAAAACCTTAAAGTATATTTTTTTCAAACCGCACTTTTCTCAGTTGTAAGTTAAATTTCTTGAATAAGTTTATTACAGCTACATCCTCAATCAATTCAATTACGAATTTTTATCGACAACAGCTTATCGAAACTAGTTATGGAGACATCCTAGTAAAGTTAAAAAACATAATATTATGTGGATAGGTAATATACAGTGTGTCCAAGATGAGGATGGGGTTAAATTACATAACTTCAACTTTGTGGAAAAAAAATTAAACTCAAAAACAAAATACCTAGCTAAATTTGTTAGTAGGTATATAGTAGGTAGATTTCGTAGATTTTTCCTAAATCTATAACTTTCAGGTTATCGGTGGCTATTTCTTGGATGCCTTAAGAATTACAGGCGGATGTCCTGAAACTGTTCGTTCTGATATGGGTACGGAAAATGGTGTAGTAGAACGTATTCAAAAAACATTGCACGAAACCTTTAACATTGAAAGAAATGGAAGACCACCCCATCTCTATGGAAAAAGTACCCATAACCAACGAATTGAATCTTGGTGGGGTATGCTCCGAAAACACTGCGTTCAATATTGGATGAATGTTTTTCAATTTCTAAGAGAAGAAAATTTTTTTCGAGGAACTACCCTTGACAAAATGTTAATTCAGTTTTGTTTTTCTGCCATTATAGAGGTAGGTTACCAATAGCTACACAATTCGGCTCCGATCTAGTCCTTTTAAGTCAGCATTTTATTTAAAAAACAAAACGCGCTTAAGGAACGCTATAACACTATATTATACTATAACTAAATCAACTTAGTTTCTTTGGGGTTTTGCTAACTTACGAGGAATAGATTTCCCACTAGGCGTTAGGTGAAAGGTCAGCTTGGATTGGTCGACATTTTCTTTATTATTGATTCAATTTGATAAGCAATGAACAATGCACTTAACGCGCTTTGTTTTTTTAAATAAAATAGGTACTAACATACGTGGATTATTTATAGATTGCACTAGGCGGATAGCTCGCAAAAATGTACCTTTGTTGTCTGGTGAGCGCTGTTTCCACTGGAGCTGTTTTATTTAGGAGTTATTTGGTTAAAAATAGTAATTTTTGTAACTAAGTGCGCGAAATGTCACCAAAAACATTTCCCTCACGAGTTGCAAACAAAATTTTTTCTACAACTCCATTTAAATATCGATCATTTGAAGCTTAAATTGCATTAACACTCAAAGGCAGGTGAATTTCAATTATTTTTGGTTTCCTGGTTATTGAAATTCAAGTGAACATGAAAAAATTTAACAAACGTCATCAGCGCAATTAATAAATACTCCCTAATAGTACTTATTGAAATTTGAGCCTATAATGTGGACACTCTGTACAGGGTGACCCAGTATTAAGTCAACACCTTTCCGCTAAAAAACGGATTTTTGAAAAAATCAAGATAGCCATTTGGTGTATTTTGTTTCTAGGAATTTGAAAACGTTTTTCCATTTTTTTTTTTAGATTTTTCGTTCAAGCGCTGTGACGAAAAAAGTATTCTTTTTTAAATAGAATAACCTACATTATATTTGAATCTATTTTTTTAAAGGCTCCTATTTTCCTCATTCCAAACATATAGTTTGTTTGTCTTTATTTCAGTAATTTACGATATATTCTCACTTCGAGATCTGAATGGAAATAGCCGAAAACGTACCTATCATGAAACAATAACCAGCAGTTTTATTAAAGGTAAAATTTGATTATACCTTTTGGGCTATTTTTTTCCAATCTCAAAGTGAGAATATAATCGTTAATTATTGGAATAAATATAAACATATTTGAAATGGGAAAAAAGGGGCATTCGAAAAGTACCTACATTCAAATATAGGTTATTCCATTTGAAAAAATTACTTTTTTCAACACAGCGCTTTTACAAAAAATCTAATTAAATTTCGAAAAACGATTTCAAATTTTTGGAAGGGTGGTCAGCCCTTAAGCGGGACACACTGTATTAGTATATAAACTTTTTCGCTAACATGGGAGTTTCTATCTATATTCTCCTTTTTTTGACTTCACCAAATTCAATAACTGTGGCAAAATTTAAGAAAAATATTGCTACTTGACTTGACATACGTTCAAAAAACCATAGTCAACTTTTACTTTACTTTTTTTTTGAATACCCGTTGTCATGAAGCCGACTAAATTTTATTTATTTTTAGACTGAATTGGAACAAGTTGTTCAGGACTGGAATATTCATAAAATAAGTAAAACAAGGAACAGTATTTCCCCAACTGGAAGACCTGCTTTGATGTACGAGGTTCCGTCTTTATATGGAGCTAAAAGTTACTTAGTGCCAGTACCTACATTTGCTATCGAAGAACTTTCCTCAAATTGCACATTTTCAAATTATCCTTGCAACGAAGATTTTTATGAACTTTGTACAATTTTAGTAGAGGAGCATCAATACATCCGAAATAACAACCCTACTGATTGCATTGAATTGTATAAAAAATTAAGAGTAGATTTACATAATATTTTTAACATTACTGTTTAATAGATTAGCTTAGGGCCACAGTATCATAGCACGCAGTTTTCGTGACGCATTGACCCTAATTTAGTTATAAGTAGGTAGGTAGTCCGACAAATGTTGAGTTAGGTATTGAGCAGTTACCACAAGAAGCAGGAAAAGACAAGGTCGTCGGGGATATTAAAGGGCCAAGTTCTTGTGGCCTATGTATCTATTGTTACAAGTTGAAACCATAATTATGGAATATGCATTAAACGATGTATGAAGTATGGATGGATTTTCACGTGAAATAATGTGGCTCAGATCTGGAACATGAGATGGTCTCAAAGCGACATGTCACTGACATGTATTGTTTCTTGTTCCTCACCAAATTTTCAATTTCTTTTTAATTTTTTTCTATTAGGTACCTACTACTCTTTTCTATGACCATTGAAAAATAACAAATGTTCAACCTAATTATCAGTGGAAATAAAATAAATAATACTCAAGAATACTGACATTTTATTTCTTTATTCCAAATAAATAAAATACTTTTCTCTATACAAAAATAAACAGGACATTGAACAAAAACAATTTTTGTTTAAAAATGCACTTGATATCTCAAGTGTTAATCTTAAAAAACTATAATAAATGAAAAAAAATAATTTCTCAAACTAATCTATTCCTTGGAGTACCTATGTACAGGGTGTTCTGTTATAAATGGTCCCCCCCCTTAACTTTTTTATTCGACGTTTTCGAAAGAAACGTCAAATGTGAAAGTTTTAAGAAATTGTCAAAAGTCTTTAACTAGGTAAGTTTTAAGCATATAGGGTGCGTCAAAGAGGTGTAACAGAGCGTAGTTATATTTTTTTAAAAGGAACACCCTGTATATTATGACATTTTTGAATTCTACGGAAATTTCTAGATATATTTCGTGTATAATGTCATATACCTAAGTTCAACTGTTTTGGAAATATTGACAGTTGAAAATTGACTTCTTTTCAAGTTTGACAGGCTGTAAAACCTAAACGGTTAATTTTAGAGCAACACCGATTTTACATTCTCATCTCAGTTTTTCATAAACTATCATTTGAGAACAATATTGAATTTAACCGGAGATTAAATTTAACCGGAATTTTCATTCATAGATTAAATTCAAAATTAGTGTCAAATGATAGATCATGAAAAACTAAGATGAGAATGTAAAATCGGTTTTACTCTTAAATTAACCATCTAGGTTTTACAGCCTGTCAAATTTGCACAAAAGTCAATTTTCAACTGTCAATATTTCCAAAACAGTTGAACTTAGGTATATGACATCATACACGAAATATATCTAGGATTTTCCGTAGAATTCAAAAATGTCATATTATACAGGGTGTTCCTTTTAAAAAAATATAACTAGGTACGCTCTGTTACACCTTTTTGACGCACCCTGTATACTTGAAACTTACCTAGGTAAAGACTTTTGAAAATTTCTTAAAACTTTGACATTTGACGTTTCTGTCAAAAACGTCAAATAAAAAAGTTAAGGGGGAAAATCATTTATAACAGAACACCCTGTACCTACCTATTTTGGGTAGGTAGATATGCTCTTGGGCATAATATTATCAATAAAAGAAAACAAATTTGAAAACGTAAAATGACGAAGAAACAAAATGAAATTCTTGAAATCTGCTACTACTTACTTCGATTAAAACAACGCATATAACAGAAGAGCGCTACAACAAAAGCGCGCTGTTACAAAACAGCGCGTAACATAAGAGCGCTATAACAAAACAGTTGGTAACAGAAAAGCGCTGTAACCTGTAACAGAAGAGCGCTGTGACAAAAGACCGCTCCAAGTATAGTATGCATGAACATTTGCACTTTCATCATCAACCCAATTTAAGAGACATTACCAAACTTACCGATAATATCCCGGTTAGTTTGAAATTTGAATCAGACATTGAATTGCAAACTAACCGAGCTATTATAGATATGTAATGCCTCATTACAATTGCAAATCAACACAAACTAACCGGGTTATTATCAACTAAGGTGAGTTTAGTAATGTCTCATTAAAATAAACTTACCCGAACTAACCAGGTTCAAAAAAAGAATGTTTTTAAGTTGAAAAAAATTTCAAACTAACCAGGTTTTTATCGGTGAGTTTGGTAATGTCTAATCCATAGGTCTGATCTGAGCTGCTTTCTTTCGGACCGGATCATTCGATTATAACGCGTTATAATCAGATGATCATGTTCTTTCGCATTTTCAAGTTTGACGTTAGCGGATCATGATTCGAACATACTGAACATATCAAAATTGCAAACTATCAAATGTTTATGCATACTATACTTGAAGCACTATTTTGTGCAGCGCTCTTTTATTACAGAGCCAATATTGCCATACTGGAGTTGTTTTTTCAGAGGGTTTGTTCGTTCTGAATAATCACACGATATCCATTACCCAAATATTGGAACTCAAAACAGACTTCAGCTCGTTCCTGAATACCACGTAGCTCTCATATGTGGATGATATCTGTAATAATCCAGAACATGTATGCCCTATTGGCAGCCTAGCAACCCCGAGAGTTTGGGTAAAATCAACTTTAATTGTTACGATGGGTAAGTTTGATCCAGTACAGAATCTAAACAGAGATTCTCGCGTTTTGTCATCTGTTTCTTTAATAAATTTCTTCAAGAAATTGAAAACGTTGCTTTGTTCAAGAGTAGTGTTTTCGGGATTATACAATATTATTTTTGAAAGACAATTTCTCACGGAAGGTTTTAGGGTTTCATAGACATTCAAAATTTCGGAAAATGCCTCTACCTTTTTACCCAGTTCTTGCTGAATACACTTAACAATGAATGCTGGTTTTTGTATAAGTTCCTGATGTGCTATATCCCGAATAAGTTGTCCCAAATTGTCTTTGGTCGGGGCCCATTTACAATCATACGATGCAAAAACGTCTATAAGTTCGTCATGAGAGACAGAATCAAAATTTTTTTGGGCCTCCTCAATAGTTTGTTTGTCAGTTTCGGAAATAAAATTCAAGAAATTTGAAGTAAGTTCATCATCCTCAAAATGGATGAAGAAGCAATATTTAACAAACACCGGCGCCATTTGTATCGGAAAATACTTTTCTGAGGTGTATCCGCAGAATAATATTTTCCCAACGGACCTCCATTCTTTGTCACCAAAATCATGCCTGATACACGGTACTTTAAATATTGTACCGACGGTACATTTTTCGTAAAATGTCGACCAAAATTCTGATAGTGCGTCTCTCCATACGCCGCCAAGGTCCTCTGCTATTTCCCTTTCGCCCGAGGGTAAAATCATCTCTATTTTCAAGGATCCGCTATCGAAGAAGTTTTGCTCAAAAGCTTTCAATAAATCTTCAAAAATGTGACCTCTTCTTAACACCATGATGTTTTCAATTGGTGCTGCTTCCACGTTATCAATGTCTCCATAGCCGATCTCGAAAGTCAGTGGGTCCTGAAACATTACCTACCTATATTATTTATTCACTAAAAATCTGATAAAAATACGATGTAGCTACTATACAGAGTGCCTCGATTCTAAATGTCATAAATGAAAGTAATGGTAGAATAGTATATTAAAATACAAGTTGCAGGCCACATTCTCGCACGAATTCGAATTTTGGCCACGAGCGACGAAGGAGCGAGTGCATGGATGAACGAATGAGTGCGAGAATAGCCTTCTGTAACGTGTGTTTTATACTATTTTTTCGAATTATGATTTTATTTATCATTATTTTTCAAAAATTTGTGTCGTTAGTTGGAGATTTTTTTTTTTAAATAAGTTAGTTGGTAACACTTAGTTACCAACTAACTGACAGAAGGACTTTATGATTTTGAAAGATTTCACAATTTTGGAGGTACCAATAGCTTTACTTCGAAAACAAAATGTCGCCAAAAATCGTTGAAGAATGAGCTTCATTTTTCAACGATTTTGCGTGACATTCTTACACGAAAATCGGAACTAAAATTTTACATTATCAGCCAGGTGAATGTGTTTAGTGGCGATTAAAGGAAATTACTGGGAGTTGTTGAGCGAGCCTAACACTTCCAAGAGCCAGTAAAATCTCTTACCCAGCGTATAATGTACGGGTTGTTCCTCATATTTTGACAACCACCTGGAGGATTAATTACAGGTAGTAGGTGAAAGGTGTAAATACAAAAAGTGTAGGGATTTTTGCATATTATTTTTTGGGACAGATCAAGCAATCGCCCATCACAAAGCGCGGAACAAGCACAACTTGGATTTTTTTAAATAGGATACCCTGTATATTATGACATTTTTGAATTCTACAGAAAATTCTAGACTATCTTCAACTATTTTGGAAATATTGACAGTTGAAAATTGCCTTTTTTGCAACTTTGACAGGCTGTAAAACCTAAACGGTTAGATTTAGAGTAAAACCGATTTTACATTCTCATCTTTAGTTTTTCATAAACTATCATTTGACAGCAGCATTGGATTTAACCGGAGATTAAATTTAACCGGAATTTTCATTCATGGATTAAATTCTAGGTAAGTGTCAAATGATAGTTCATGAAAAACTAAGAAGAGAATGTAAAATCGGTTTTACTCTAAAATTAACCGTTTAGGTTTTACAGCCTGTCAAAGTTGCAAAAAAGTCAATTTTCAACTGTCAATATTTCCAAAACTGTTGAAGATAGGTATATGACATTGTACATGAAATATGTCTAGAATTTTCTGTAGAATTCAAAAATGTTATAATATGCAGGATGTTCCATTTAAAAAAATCCAAGTTGTTTTGTTCCGCGCTTTGTGATGGGCGATCGTTTTGTCTGATAGTTCCAAAAGATAATATGCAAAAATCCCTACACCTTTTGTATTTACACCTTTCACGTACTATCTGTAATTAATCCTCCAGGTGGTTGTCAAAATATGAGGAACAACACTGTACAATAATTTATTTGTCATGGATTTGATTCACCTCGCTGCGCTCGGCGTTCAAATTCATGCGCGTCACATAAATATTACTTATACTCCTAATAAAATAAATATCTATTCCTAAAAAAGCATAATGCACGGCTAACATGGGATTTTTGGCTTTTATTGTCAGTTTTGATAAGCGTTGAAAAATTGACTTTTCTGCAAAGAATTTACCCTATGTAACAATATTTTGAAAGCTGCGATAAACTTATAAACATTTGTGACTGACAGAGTCAAATATGTTGACCTGTCAGTATTTTGATTGAGAAAATAGCTAGTTATGTAACAAGTTGTAAAATGAGCGTGTTTTTGCACTAAATGTGAAGATTGGAACACGAGCGAAGCGAGTGGTCCCGTCCAACACATTGTGTGCAAAAAAAACAGCCATTTTGCGACGTGTTTCATACAAGATTTTTTGTGATTCATTAAAAATATTTAAAATTCAAAATATAAACTAATTTCATCACTGACACGGAACGCACTCTAAATCCCATTTTATCACTCAATGATGAAATGAGATCACATTTTGTCATTGTATCAGAACTCACTGCTTATTTTGGCGTTTGTGTTAAAATGAACCACTTTTGACAACGTGAATCAATGTCAAAAAGATGACATTTCGTAACTGAATCACAAAAAAAAGTTTATCGTATTGTATTTATTGACAAATTTCAACTTCGATTGCACTGCAATCACTCAATCAATCAATCACTAACTATTATAAATTTTTACTCACCATTGAGAATGGCTGATTGTCCATGGAAACGAAATCTTCATAGAATGATCTAACATCTACCCTCTCTGGAGTCTCTGACATCTGATCTGATGTTGAGGTAGACGGTCCAGATATGGAGGTACTCTAAAAAATAATGGAACATGAGGTAATAATTTTTCAGGCACCTGACTTAAATATTATAGGCGTCCAAAGGGTCAAGAAGGGTCATCGGTATCAAATAGACTAATGAGCAACTGAGATGAACTTTCATAGTTTTCGCAGATTTATTCTTGCCATTCTTGCCTAGATAGGTAGCGTAGAGCGTAGCGACAAGTCGATGTCATAATTTTTAAAAACGAGGCAATAGTGTCAAATATGATTATATCCTAAACGTCGGAAATGGAAATTCAATTGAATTTTCAATTTCCGAGTACACGTACGCCAATGTGACTTGTTTGGAAAAGTTTGACATCGACTTGTCGCTATAGTCCGACACATACTATTTTAAAGTCACGTGATATTGGTGGCAAAAAACGTATGTCTTTGATTATGTAACTTTGAAAAACTAATTGATGACAGTGACAGATTTTCAGGTAAAAATATTATGAACAACGCTAACGCCGTTATGCATAGACGATTTCCAGCGACTCGCCGGAGTTTCGCCGCTCGCTGAACAGTATTGCAATGCATAGCGGCGAAACTTCGGCGAGTCGCTGGAGATCGTTTATGAATACGGGCGTGAGACATGCACCAATTTTTTTTCAATTTTTCTGTCACCGCCGTTTAAGATGTATTCAACAAGGATAAAAAAAATCACGTGACTTTAAAATGGTACCTATTTGTCGGACTTTACCTATCTAGGCAAGAACTGTCGACGGATCTAGTGACCTTATATGCTCGGACCCTATAATGCGACGTACGTTTTCGTAATCAAAGCACTCTTTGATTTGTTTTTTTTTGAAGACACAAATGACAAATACAAGGTACAAATGACAAGATACAAAATACCAAAAATTCGGAATTTTGGTACACGTGTTATTATATTTTTGTCTTGTAACTTGTATCTTGTATTTGTCATTGTGTCTTCAGTCTTAGCTAACACGTTGCGTTAGCTATGATAATCTTTGCGTAAACTGTTTAGTTTAGTGGCGCCATCCATGTAATGCCCACAGGATAGAAGATTGCTAGAAGATTTGTAACCTGGAACTCCTTTGAACATGTCACCGATATGGAGACTTAACTCACCGGATTATTAACGGGTGAAGACAGGTCATCTATAAGTTTATCTAGGCTTCTTCTCCTTAACGTCATTGTCAATCTTGGTGGGGTTTTTATACCTGTTACATAATCGTCATCATCAATGGAATTTTTCAGCGATGTTTTTCTCTTGGTTGATAAATAAAATCGAACGTTGGTCAATCCGGTCACTTTGCGGTCACTTTGCAAAATTTCGTTCACATCAATGTCATTAGTAATTTTATGACACTTATAGTCTTGCAGCTCAAAATCAAATTCGTCAATTTTTCCGTATGGGCTCGATCCATCTGGAAAAAAAAGTTGGATTGCTGTTTCAGTGATGTCTTCGGCCTTTGCTATTTTCAGTATAGAGATCCTTCGGTTCCCCCCTATCGGTCCCCTCACATGTTTAAAGCATTGTTTCTTGTCGCAGTAGTGCCTCCACCCAATTTCTACCATTCTTGTTGACTTTTGAGGCTTTTCTCTCATTTTTTTTGTCGAATGTGCCTTTTCCTTATTGTTGTCACCAAAATGATTGAATGTTGTTTTTAGTTTTTCAATCAGGGATTTTCTGCGTGTTTTTAGAGCACAAGATTTTAAGGCTAATCTATCTCCGTGTGCAGGCAAATAAGTTGAAAGCTCTTGGTCTGTCATGACTTTAACTGCAGCAAAATCAATCTAAAAGAAAAACACAGAAGAAAATGATTTTTATCTTGGATCCGCCAATTTTTGGGTGTCCCTAGAGAGTAGAGGGCGACTCGCCCCTAATTTTTTATAATTTTTTCTACTTTCATACGAACAAATGAAAGGACCCCCGCACACCTCTAATGGGTTTTTGGTTTTCTGTCGAACTCTATGAAATTTTGATATGTGGTAGACCTTGACTTCCTGATTAAAAGTTCTCATCGGCTCAACCCAATCCTATGGCTAGTTTTCAAAATACAGGTATTTAATGTCCAAGAAATGTACACATTATGCATTTAGATCTACCTACCTGTCACCAGAATGGACAGGTATCTTTCAGCTCAGGTGACAGGTATGGGTAAATGCCGAGGTAAGTGCATATAAACGTGTACGTTTCTTGGATATTGAACTACCTGTATCTCGAAAACTAGTCATAGGATTGGGTTGGGCCAATGAGAACTTCTTATCAGGAAGTCAAGGTCTACCACATATCAAAATTTCATAGAGTTCGACAGAAAACCAAAAACCCATAAGAGGTGTGCGGGGTCCTTTGGCATGCAGGTTTGTTACAAAGATAATGCATTGTTTGACTTTTCCAGTTGTTTTCTAACGGAAAATTTTGGTCAAGTATTTGCGGAAAAAAAAAATTGCTTCTCTCCTTTACAGGCTTGTTTGAAATTTGCAAAATCGTATTTATGGTCTTTTTTTTTTCAAATAAAATGAACGACATTTTATTTATAAATTTTCGACTTATAAAGGGTGTCCCTATAGGAACGCACGTTTTGGTTTTGCGGAAACAGTTCGTAAATGGCGTGATATTTTTCGTCGACACAATGCGAATGCAATGCGACTAGTACGGTGACGTAGTGTTTTCACGTCCATTGCGATCAAAAAAAAGTAGTACAAAAATTATTAGCTCCGATTTGAGCTCCCGGTGTAACATACAAAATTTTGACATTTCAAAGTTTTTGAAGGGTGAACATAACCAATTTGTACCAGTATTTGTTCAATTTTTGACACTTACGTCTCCTGCACTATGCTGGAATGGTGGGCAATGACATATTAACAAGGATAGACAGTACCAGACATTATAGACCAAGATATTTTGGAAATTTTCGTTGTAGTGCTTTTTTTTTATCGCAATGGTACATACACAACAGAAACATTTTTCTGATTTTTCGCAAAGTTAATAATTATTTTTTGAACGGTCGTGTGATTTGGCGCATTGTGTCGACCGAAAATGCCACCCAATCGACAAAGTGTTTCCGCAAACCATTCTCCATATTTGTAGTGTGTTTTAGCAATAATAATTCGTTGTGACTCATTCAAAATAAGGAAGTTAGTGTCATGTCGTAAGTGACAGAAAACAAATGAATACGTCAAACAATGCATATTTATGTTACAACCTCACCTAGATGCCAAATAGTTATTTATACACCAAATAGTGAGTCAAATGAATGTTTATTTATGAGAAGAAAGTCTAACCCACGAGCTTTAGCCAGTGGGTTACTTTTCTTCGAATGAATTAACATTTTAACTCACGTGATGTATACAAAGTTTCATCCCATTCTGATGAACATTTAAAAAATAAAGTAATAGGAATCAAATTATAGAAACAATTCATTTTTTCTACAGCCGTGCGGAAAATTCAATTTTCCGCACTGATATTCATGCCGAAAATGAGTTTTTCCGCTCTTGTGCGTTATAGCTATTTACCTAACAAGTGCGGAAAATAAATTTTTCCGCACGAGGGTGCCGTTCACCGAACGACGCGTAGCGGAGTTCGGTGAAGCAGCCGAGTGCGGAAAAATATTTTCCGCAAGTGTTAGGTACAATAGTTTTTCTTCGAGCGTGAGGAAAATATACATACATCAAATTTTTTTATTCAAGTTCCATCTACAATTAGCTCTTATTTATATTATAGTTAATAGTAGAAGTGCAATTGCTGGCACTACTTAAATTTAAAGCGTACGCTAGCTCTAGCTGATGATTGGTCAATGGCGGCGGCAGCGAGGGCAGTTGTATAGACGCTGGCGTTTGCTGCAACGGTATAATGACTTCAGTTGATTGCAGTTGGTTTTCGGAGTCCATTTCATGAGTTGGTTCGGGATCAGCAACCACAGCAACTATGTATTTTCATAGTCAATACAGGGTGCCGTCGGATTTAAAATGTAATGCCATCATCCTGTTGAGGAGTAAAAGCCAGCGTCTCTACAACTGTCGTCGCTGACGCCGCCGTTGACCAATCATCAGCTAGCGTCTGCTTTAAATTTTACTAGCGTCAACAATAATCAGGACATTAATTTAACAATTTTGACATATCAGTGTGGAAAACATTTTGCCGCACCGTGCGGTAAAAGTTTTGCCGCACCGTGCGGGAAAATTGATTTTCCGCACTTGAAACAGTGCGGAAAATTGCATTTTCCGCACGCTCGTAGAAAAAAAAAATTTCCGCACGGATATCGGTGCGGCAAAATTTCCCGCACGGCTGTCAAAAAAATAAATTAAATTACACTACAAATTATACAGGGTGTTTTTCAAAACCCGCTCACCCCCATAACTTTTTTATTGTCACAAATAAAAAAATTAAATTTGGTGTATTCGTTAATGACCCAAATGTGCATTATTTGACGTATTCAAATATTTTTTATCACTTCCGGTTTGACCGGAAGTGACCCTAACTTTTTTATTGTAAATGAGACACGATGTATATTTTTCTTTATTTCAATAGAAAACTTCATTACCAGTACACACCTCATTTGTCACTTTTTGACATTTGATCTAATCAAGAAATTTTATAGCATTCTTTGTATTTCAGAAAAATTTAGGGTCAATGTTTGAATAAACTAGCGATTGTGTGGTATTGAAATGTACGTAAAAAAATGCTCTTACGGAATATGCTAATGAGCCATAGCCTCATTTACATGGTGCAAGTAGCTTGAGCAAGTACTAACGCCACTAACTTAAATTTAGTAACTTGAATCGTGTAGACACCTTGATTTAGTACTTGCGCAAGTAAAGTCTTTAGTCAAGTGAATAGAAGCAGGTTCTATTTACTTGAGCAAGTAGCTTCCCCCATTCTCGTTTTTTTACTGGCTTTAGTGGACTAGACGCGTGTAGACAGGCAGCCGAATTTAGTGATTAGTGAAGTACATTAGTAGCGTTTGAATTTGAATATTTTTGAGTATTGTGTTGCACGTTGCACCTATTAATTGCCATTGCAATGTCGTCTCGTTGGACGGAAGAAACCACAATTAAATTTGTGCAAGAGTACAGAGAACATCCGTGTTTATGGAACTCTAAAATTCCACTTTACAAAAACAAACAAGTAAACTAACCCAACAACGTTTTTCTTTTTCAATTTCTTTCGATAAAATTTCTGACAATTCTCCACAAACACTCAAAATGCATTTTTGAATTTCTTTTCGAGCTTGTACTTGCTGCCATTTCACCTCAATTTGCACTAATCACTAAATTTGACTTAAAATCAGAAAATGCATGTAGACACTCACTTGCACGGAAACCAAGATTATTTAGTTACTGTCGTTAGTACTTGCTCAAGCTACTTGCACAGGGTAAATGAGGATACCCTTTCCATTTGAAAAAAATGATATAATTCAAAAAATACGCTTCCACTATTTTTGAATGACTCTGTAGAGGAAATAAAGTACAAAATAAGATCAGAACTAATTTTCCCAGGTACCCTGGAGCGAAATCAAGCATTTCAACTAGTTCATGGTGCTCTAGATTATAAAGTAAACATTTAAATAATTTGGAGATAAAATGTCAAAAAGTGACAAATAAGGTGTCATTGTACTCGTAATGTAGTTTTCTATTGAAATAAGGGAAAATAGACATGCGGCGTCTCATTTACAATAAGGAAGTTAGGTTCAAACCGGAAGTGATGAAAAATATTTGAATACGTCAAATAATGCACATTCGGGTCATTAATGAACACACCAAATTTCATTTGTTTATTTGTAAAAATAAAAAAGTTATAGGGGTGAGCGGGTTTTGAAAAACACCCGGTATAGGTATACTTATTTTCGCACGTCTGTAGTAAAACTATTAAACCTAACACTAGGGGTGGGCAAAATAATCGATTAATCGATTAATAATCGATTATTTCGAATCGGTGAACGGCAGACTCGTGCGGAAAAAATCATTATCCGCACTTGTTAGGTAAATAGCTATAGTAGTATGAAAGCGCTAATATCTAATATTGAAATTGGTGGGCTAGGTATTACTAGATAATTGCTTGTTTGTATCTGTTTGCATCAGAGTGATTTTAAAAGACCCAGTTGTCAAATTGAGAAATCGAAAGAACTGAATTTGATTTCGAAAAAACATAAGATTATTGTTTTGAAAATCTGCAGTATAATGAAAAATCTAGAACGAAACACTGCAATACGATAACTGCAAATAACAGCCTTGGCCTCAGTCTGGCCGTTATTTGCTGTTTATCAGCCTTATAACGTTAATAACTATTTAAGTCACTGAGGTGATAAACGTCTACTTACCTACCTTTGTTATTATGCGTTCAATAATGTCATTTTTAAACATCAAAATGGGATGAAAACATAAAAAAACATAGGGGTGCAGTGGAAGATCAACGATTTTCAGGAGAAATCTGTATCAGGCTGCGCTCCGCCAATGTTATTTTCCAATGCCTGCAGGACGAGCTATTGCGTGGATCCACAAAAAATTAGAGAAAATATCAGTGAGCTCAGATAATTATTGTGTTTAGTATAGTTCAATGAGTATACAACAAAGCAATAAGAGCTTTCAATTTGAAGATTTAGGACATGATGTGGGCTTCAAAAATTCTATTATCTGAGCCCACTGATATATTCTCTAAGTTTTTCGTGAATGGACAATATAACACGTCGTGCAGGTATAGGAAAATAACATTGGGAGAGCGCAACCTTAAAATGAAACTACTTGCAATTCAGTTCGACATTATCAATTTGGAAATAAATTACATAAAAATTGACACAGTTTTTCCATTTGCAATTTTTTATTGGATTATGTTAGAGATGAGAAAGGTGGTAGAGTTCTCCTTTCAACCCA